CAATTTGAATAGCCTCCTTGACAGATTTTGGGATGCGGATACCGTATTTGTGGGTCCGTTCCCAATATTTTGATTTGACCTTGCTTATAAAACGATCACGCTTTTTGTGTACATGTGGGACCCACCATGCGAATGCTGGTTCATCGTCAATACCATTTAACTTGGCATAATCTGTAACCTCAAGGGGAAAGGATTCTTTCATGTCTCTCAGTGTTACCCAATTGGATGATCCGTCCTTCCAGATCACATGAAGTTCCCAGCCAGCAGTTGTTTGGCGCTTTCGAGTCCGTCCACTAGGGAGGAGCATCGATCCCGCACTCTTTGTGATTGCCTTAGCATTTTTATGGTGGTCCGAAATCTCCTCCATCAGTCGGTGCTTATGTCCGTGTTTGTCGACCTGTGCAAGCAAATTCTCAGCAAGGATATCAGCTGCGAATGTTTCAGCACCGCCATCTGCGTATTCTACTTCATACTGTCGTGTGTCAAGCAATTGGTTGGAGCTAGCGACGCCAATTGGTCTTCCATTTTCATCCACTATCCGTCGTTTCACCTTTGCCCTTTGGAGTTTGCCTTCTGCGCCTCGTCGTAAACCAATCTCCATGTTGGTATAATCTTGGGCATCAAGGTCATCTGCAGCTTCTTCAGTCCCCTCAAAGTCGCCATCCTCCGGCGTCTCTGGGTTGATGAGCATACTAAAGTTGCGCATAAATTCGTCATCTTCGTCGTCAAAATCGAACATCATTTGATGAGGAATCTCTTCCTTCCCCCAGTTGATGTGAGTAGATTTGGCGTCAACTATCTTGGAGACATCAGCTGTCCAACGTTGCATCTGTTGTTTGACAGAATCAGTTTGCTGTTCAGCGTTGGTTACCATTTGGACAGTATCTAGAGAAATGGGGATACCGCTCTTTGGGAGAACCCAATATGTCATCATGGGTCCCACACGGTGCGAGACTCCAAGCCATTTTCCAATGTGGTTGACCCCCAGGCCGCCATCGCTGCGAAAGAACACCCAACCATATATCGTGAAATCCAGATATTCAGTGATGTCTGGTGTGATTCCAGTTATAATTTCTAAAGGTACCTGACCATCAGAGTACTTTGAATAATTGACGGTATCATTCATTGTGTCAACCACGTAGTCCAAGACAAAGTCCCAAAGACGTTCAGGGATACCGTGTTTGATGATCAATCGGTAATACCTCCTTTTCAACTCTCGAATTCCACCTTCAGACGGGTTTTCCTTTGGAGTGTAAGGTTTGGAAATGTGATGGTCGATATTGCATCGACGAATCGTATCCATAAATGTTGTCTTCCGTCCAATCTGGACAGGTGCACCATCCATCGTAAGGTGCTCTGGTATACCATATTTGGAAATGAACTTGTTCAAGGTTGGTCCAACCTGTACATCATTTACTTTCTGCAAGTGGTGACAACTGTAAAACCCACATTTGTGAAAGTATACCTGGCTGGCAATGTTTGTCAGATAGACTTGCTCTACAGACCTGAATGGAAAGCCTCAACGCCCTGTCTGTTTCAATGAGCAATCCCTGAGATCGAATCTATGTCGGCTATGGTCTGCCTTTGGGCACCAGCGACTCTGGGCCTCAGCCTCTGGAATAAGCAGTAGTCTTATTCAATCAAAGGTCTTACTTTTTATCTCCTATACTTGGTTGGACCTTAACATCCACAATACTATTCTTGCCAGAACTCAATCAATAGTGAGACTCTCGATTGCAGTTCAAAATCATCATTCAAATTCTCACAATTCTCATTCTTGATCACCTTTCTACGTGATGACACGTTCTGACATACTGCGTTTCATATTACGCACGATCGACACTCACGTCACTGCCACGTCACGTCACATAGACCATTGATCAATAATCGACCAATATGATTGCTCAATATATCAATACGTCCAACACACTCCTGTCGTTTCGCCAGCGACTCCAGTTGATGGAACGAAAAAATAATCTCTCAATACAAACAAAATATCCAAGATTGTTCATCAGGACTAATCCTGGTCACCTTGAATTACAGCCTGGAACTTGCAAAACTTTTCGCCCTGTAACGGCTTTTTCATGTAATCTGCCCACATTTCATCAGTTGGCATGTGTTCAATAGTAATGTTGCCCAACTCGACTTGATCTGTCACAAAGAAATATCGAGTATTTAGCGCACGGCTCCTTTTGCCTGCGCTTGATCTTCCATTTGTTTCAAGTAGGATCGAACTCTTGTTATCTTGATATAGTATATTCTTATGGATTGGGTAACCTTGTTCTTCCATAAATAAGCGTGTCCACAAAATATTGGACGTCTCATCATGAACTCCAATTAGTTCAGTATGTGTACTGCTGTCACAATTCAATTTCTGCTTTTGTGTAATTGCTTGCACTGCTCCAGTGCCCATTGTCATCACAGCTCCAGTATGACTCTTGAAGTCTGGATGAACAGCAAATGATGCATCGACATACCATTTAATCACGCGCAAATCATCAGCGCTTAATGTCAGATGCCATCCTTTTGTAGAATGAATGTATCTCATCAATCGATCTAGTTTGTGCCAATCACTCAGATTCGGAGATTGCACCCTTGATGCTAAAATCGATACTGTCGGACTGATGTCCAGACGAGCACGTTTCGACAAAAATAACGATTTGGCAACAAACAAATGGAACACTTCATGTCGCTCCTTCTCAAGCGGTGCTCCTTTACCTTTCTCCAGTAGATTATTTCCAGCTGGTGTCTCCTGGATCTCATTGTCCTTAAACTTGACTGGAAACTCACTCAGCATGCGATCCACATAATCATCCATGCGAATTTTCATTTTTCCTTTCTTCGAAAAATCCAATGTCATACCCAAATAAGTATGAACTTTACCTCTAGTGCATGTGACCTCTTTTAAGCCACCATATTTCTCATTCACCCATGTGAAAAAATCTTCAAGTACTTGTTGTTCCATGTGACTCGCCAAAACGTCATCAACATGGAACCTGATTGTCAATTGTTTGCCATTAACCATTCTGTTGGCAATGCAGGGATCATATCAATTAAAAACAAAGCCATACTCCTCCAGAGAAGCTCTCAAATTTCGATACCATAGCAACAATGCCTGCAACATTCCATATATGGCAAGAAGGATCACAACATAGATCACTCTCTTGCCATTCTCATAAACAAAATAATCGCGATAGGTCGGGTATTGGACCATCAGTCCAGTTACCTTCATGATCACCCGATCTTCTCCATCACCTAAATCTGGCATCAAGGTCTGAATGAATGCATTTGGAATGTCCATTGACATCATGCATCTACCTTCGTGCGCGTCAATCACTCCTGTGTAACAGATACCTTCATGCAATGCGGTTGGGCTAGCTGTGTCCTCTCAAGACAGCCAGTCTCTTGTCTCATTTCCTTTATATACAAAACAACCTTTGATATCACCACTGTTTTTCTGTGCCAGTAAAATCCTTGCATCGACTGCTTTCCTCTTCTTGGATTCAGTCAATTCACCAATACTGATGGGTGTTCAGCAACTTTGTTTGATCAGTTGATCAAGTTCCTTGAGCGCAGCTTCTTTTCCTCGTTCTTTGAAAATCTTCAATCCTTTGTTAAGATAATACTGCTGAATAAACGACACTCCATCCCTTGTGTACACTTTGTCACAAATCTGTTGCATGACGCGTGAAATCACCAACGACTCATCCACATTGTAAGTCGCTTTCTTCTCAGTTCCACTCTGCTGGAATATTAAGTTATGCGCCCGTTCAGTAATCTTTCTTCTTGCTTCAGCGCTCAACACGTCGTCATCCCGGAACTCTTCTTTCCTTCGTGATTTTACCTTTGACGCAATAGCCTGGTATAATGAGATACGCAATCTCTTCAACCGTGCCTTCTTTCTCATGGCGCTCCTGTTCTTTAACAAATTGATCTTGGGCTTCTTTCGTTGTAAGTACGTTTGTCCATATCTTGGTCTATCAGTTCGATTCCTATCAGTAGGTCGATACTTGACTCCATTTGAATAAAATGATCGTCCACTTCCTGTTCTCCTTTTTTTGTCTTTATTTGAATCATTTGATGTACTCAACATGGGGACTTCTTCAAAACTCACTCCTGCACAAACATCATCTTCTTCATCAGGATATACTTGCGGTTCGTCTTCTGCTTCTTGCAGTTCTTGTATTTCTTCCGCATCATATTCACCCTCATAGTCATTGTCTTCATCTTCAACGCTAAACATTATTTCTTCTTCAATAGGTTGGCTCAATCTATCCAACTCATGGGCTACTTCATCAATCATATCTTTTAATTCTTCATCATTGACATCCATTTCAATGTCGCTTTCAGGTTGCTGATCCTGCACAAAATCCATATCATCTTCATTGTCTTCTTCTTGATGTCTCTTAATTCTTTACAGCATGCGGTCAACAGTTCTATCTGTCTCATCATAGTCATGTTGTCTCTTACCATCAATTCTTCTAGATTCCAATATATCTTCAGCTGCATCCTCGATTAATTCTTTGAGTTCTTCATCTGTGATTGAATCATTCTTGCGTAAATTCACGTCATTGACCGGTGGAATTTCAATGTCTGCAGGTACATAGACTTCGTCCCACAGTTCATCTGGGTCCACTCCTGCGAGCAGATCAGCATCCAAAATTATTTCTCCATTGCGCCTGGAATAGGTTTGTAAATCTGTAACGCCTTCCTCAGTAGCATGGGCTTCAACCAATTTGATCACTTGATCAGTGATTGGGAGCACCGTAATTTGAGGTCTAGTCACCTCTTTTCTTGTGTTCAAATCATATAGCTTGTGACCCTTTTGCATATTATCAGCTGGTCTCAAGTAAATCACTTCAATAGTGCGTGACCGATGATCACTGCGAGTATCATGTCCATAACCATGGACATACAACCCAAGTTCAGCAACAAATTCCTTCGAATAATCAACTTGGCGTCGCAACAAAATCTTATGAGGACTGTAATAAGCCGAAATACCCCCTTTTGCGGGGTAAAAGTTGGAAGTCTGTGCAACTTGTTTTGCCATAGCTTCTGAGTGTCAGATTGACTTGCTCTACAGACCTGAATGGGAGCCTCAACGCCCTGTCTGTTTCAATGAGCAATCCCTGAGATCGAATCTATGTCGGCTATGGTCTGCCTTTGGGCACCAGCGACTCTGGGCCTCAGCCTCTGGAATAAGCAGTAGTCTTATCCAATCAAAGGTCTTACTTTTTATCTCCTATACTTGCTTGAACCTTACGTCCACAATACTATTCTTGCCAGAACTCAATCAATAGTGAGACTCTCGATTGCAGTTCGAAATCATCATTCAAATTCTCACAATTCTCATTCTTGATCACCTTTCTACGTGATGACACATTCTGACATACTGCGTTTCATATTACGCATGATCGACACTCACGTCACTGCCGCGTCACGTCACATAGACCATTGATCAATAATCGACCAATATGATTGCTCAATATATCAATACGTCCAACAATGTTACCGCGAAGAGAAGTTCGTTTGAAGTAGGCAGTATCAGTAGAAAATTTTCCCTTCAATTGTGGACGTTCAAACATCCAATCGGCTCGATATCTCCTTGCAAGTGGCATAATAGCTGATCTGGTTCCACGTTGCAGGGCTGCGTTTAATGTAGCTCTTGCTTGACCAATGCTGATTCCCAAGCGTTCAGAAAGATTCTCTGCGGTGACTTTGGAGTGCCGTTCAGTTGATATAAATGATTGCCGGACTGGAACATCTTGAAACCTGATTTGTTGTACAACACGCCATTGTTGTATGTTGTGTTGCACAGGATCTAAACTGCGCATTTCAGATTCATTTGATCGTGGATCTTCAAAAGGAGTATTTCGTCGCGTGGAGAGTTTCCCAAGTTGCACAGTTGACGGCTCCCATGGCACTTTACTTGTGAGCTCAATATGATGGCACGTTTCCAGTTCCTGCTTAGTGGGAGCACGTGTGCCAAAGAGTAGCTTGGTGCCCCTTGATAGTAGTGGTATGAACAAGTCCGTAGCCTCAATCCCAATTGCATGCATATCATCATATGGATTATCCCAAAGAGGAGTACCGTAACTTCGAATCTGATTTAGGTTGAACAAGGAGTGGTCCAACTTGTTTCCATAGTAGAGCGCTTCGTTTATGATCAAAATAAAAGTAGAACCGGTTTCTGGACAATCATATGCTGTCGCCCCTGAAACAATTGGAACATGTGTTGGCGGTAGACTGGAATCATAAGCGTATACATTGGCCGAGCGTTGTGTGTAAGCAGTAATGATGAAATTGCTACCCAAGCAACGAGTGTCAGCGTTTGTATCCATTTCATTGTCGGCGTAAGTGCCAGCCACAGGTTCTTGGACACCAAGCCTTTGCGTTGCTGAGTATTTGGAGATGACACAAACAATCCGTGAAACTTGGCTGATGCTGCTGCTGACATGTGGTAGTCAGATATCACTCCCACTTCCTCCATTTTGTCGCTCTTGGGCTTGTTGTAGACGTCCTCCAATAATGGAGCGCCCGTTGGTGCCAGTAGTGACTTGGGAGATTTGAGTAGCAGCGGTATCTTGTGTGATTTTGGTTGGTGCAGTCAAACGGTTGGTCAAATCTCCAACCAGAGAAGTCAGTGCGGCTATATTTCTTGTATTCTCGTTGGTACTAGCATTGTCTTGGTTATTTTTGTTTTGATTGCGATAAGCTGTCCTTTCGACCGTCATTGTATTGCACTGGTCTTGTGTCATCAGGTCCAAGTGTTCACGAGAAAAGTTGTAACTCGGATGTTACTTGATGATGTTAGAATAAAGCAAAATGTGCTCTATCGTGAGTGCCTTTAGCGCTCAGAACAAACTCTCTGCAATCTAAATTTGTAATCAACTGTACAACACTTTCATGACAATAGTTCTCCTGTGTCTAGGTA